GGAATGGCAGAGGAACTCGCCTACCTGTGCTCAAGACAGCCTTGAAGCGTCTGCATTTAACATCCTCAGAGGCAGCTTTCAACCAGTTAAGGACTGAGTTTAGTGGAGAAATATCCCAGCATATCCTGCCCTTGGTGGGGTAAGTCTGAGACTAGGTCTATACAGATTCTTGGGGCCTCCCAGTAGGGTTCACTCCCAGTTGCCCACTGTGATGGTTAACTTTACATGTCAATTTGACTGGGCTAAGAGATGCCCAGATAGCTGGTAAAACATGATTTCTGAGCGCGTGTGTGAGGGTATCTTTGGAAGAGAGTTGCCTTTGAATCAGTAGTCTAAGGAAAGAAGGTCACCCTCACCAATGCAGTTGGGCATCATCGCATCCATTGAGAGCCCAAATAGAACAAAAAGGTAGAGGAGGAAGGGCGAATTTGCTCTCTCTGTTTGAGCTGGTACATCCATCTCCTGCCCTCGGAACATTGGAACTCCTGGTTCTTGGGCCTTTGAACTCAGATTGGGACTTATACCATTGGCTAGTACTTTTAGAGAATGTATTGGTAGAGGGCAGGAATGGAACAGACAGACCTATTGGGAAGTATTGTTTTGGTCCGGGGGACACTGTGGTGGCTTGGACTGGGCTATCACAATGGAGCTGAGCACCTCCAGCAGGCCATACACTCAACCACAGGCAGCCTGAAACTCAGGGAGAATCCAGACCCTCATGCTCTCCAAGGAAACAGCTTCTGACTCCTGTCACCATGGCAACTGTGTTTCATCTGTCTGGATTGGTCGCTGGGGTGACATCACCAGCACTAAGTGACTGATCCTCACAATGAGAACTGGTTGCCATGGTGCTAACGTATGCAAATAAGAACCTGCCATTCTTCTCTAGGTCAGGATCTTTGACTAGCTCTAAACCTAAGGGGAAATCAGGGGAGGGAGAGATCAGACGGGAACCAAGGAGAAGCCAGCTGCCAGGCAGTTGCTGAGTTACTATGCCTCAAGACTTGCCCAAATCAGGACGGCTATTAGAACCTGTCCTTTTTTGGGGGAGGGGGAATTTTAATTGTAGAGGGGGAGTCCACCAGCACATACACATACGAATTCCAAGTCCCAGAGCTTCCTTGAACTGTTTCTTTCTCTGAGCAAAACTTTGAGGTATCCCGCAGCCCCCACCCCTGCTTTGCCATTCAGGCTGGTCTAGGGCAACCTGCTTCTGGACTTTAAAAGTGGGTTTTGTTGAAATTCCTTCTGTAGCCTTGTTTGGTGTCAGGACAGGTGGGCTCCAGCCAGACCCTCTGAAGTAAGCTATGTAGTACCAGAACAGAAGGTATGTTGGAGTGGGGATGTAGAATAGATCCTTGGTGCAGACGGAGGCCTTGTTTCTGAGCCCTTTCTCCTTTCGGACACCATTCATAATGTGAATGCAAGGCAGGGTAGGACCACAACTGAATTGCAGTCTTTCCTCAACCACTCCTCTGCCCACTACTCTTCAGGGTGGGCTTTTTCCCTTTGGGAAAGGAACTTTCTTTGAACCCCAGATCCAATAGGCCTGGAACCTGCTCAGTCTTCTGAGGCTGTTACTCTCAGGGCCCCCTCCAATGAATAGCAAAAGGAAGCACAGCATCAATGCGTGCGTGATTTATCATTATCATAGCTATTTCCCTGGAAGTCTGACATCTTAAAAGGGAGAGAGAAAAACATCCACCTATGCTCAACCCACCCAAAGGCCATTATGTCCCTTTTTTCTTTAGCATTGTGCTTCTCAAAGAAGGTTCACACTCATTTGCTCCTAGGCCTCAAATTCCTCCTGTAAATAATTTTAAAGTATTATGTGTAACACAAATCAATGATAACCAGATAAAACTCCAGTTCCTGGCATGTCAAATAGTTTGTGTCAGACTCTCCTGCTAACATGACAAAATATAAAAATAACTGTGAAATCATGGAGACCAACCAAAAGCAAGAAAAACTAGAAGGAATTTAATTCTTGAAAAAGCAAGCCTAGTGGGTGAGTACCACATTTAACAGGATTTTCCCTAAAGACACTTCACCATTCCCTGCAGCACACAGGGGAACAGCTCAGGCAGAAAGTGACAGTCTGCCTGGCCGAGGAAGCAGAGGTTGGAGTAGAGAAACCCCAAAGCAGATGGAAATTGAGGGAGAAAACTGGGAAATGAGTGAGCTACAGAGAGGTGAACTCCAAATCCACATACAAATTCTCCTCAGATCCTTAGCTACCTTCTAAAATGGCACATGTGCAGGGTGAGATTTCACGAAGCCTAGTGGAAAAGTTAAATATCGGAACAGGGATTTTAGAAGCTGCCACAGTGTTAGGGAGACTAAATTTGGGGTTCAGGACTCATAACATTAGTGGGTCTTGGTAAACACCTTGGGGTTTTCATTGAAATCCTGAAAGGACCGTATCCTAGGTATACAGTAAATACAAAGTCCAGGGCTAAGGGAAACAGCCTAGGATTCAGACAGAACTAAAATACTCTGGCCCTTATCAGGCTTCTGATTGTAATAAAACTTTCTCACAAAGAAACTCAGGCCCAAACACTTAAAGAAGAAGAAATATCAAATCATCAACTCTTTTAGAGCATAACAAAAGAGGCAATGCTTTCTGACTGATTTTATGAGGCCAGCACAACCAAACTTTTGGAAGAAAACATAAGAGAAAAACCTTTGTAAGTCTGGGATAGGCAAACATGTCTAAAAAACAGCATTAGCCATAAAAGATAAAATTAATAAATTGGACTCCCTCAAAATTAAAGTATTTTGCTCTTCAAAAGACACTATTAAGAAGCTTAAAATGAAATTTTCAGAGCTAGAAAAATATTCCATTTATCTGATAAAGGAGTGCTAACCAGAAGTACTCGAGAATTATGTAAATTAGGGATTATAAATATTTTTAGACATTGTATTTATTTCCAATTGCTGCTGTAACAAATCACCTCAAACTTAGTGGCATAAAGCAACAGAAATTTGTTATCTCACAGTTTTGGAAGTCAGAAGTCTAAAATCAAGGTGTCAGCTGAGCTGTGTTCCTTTTGGAGTCTTATAGGGAGAACCCATTTCCTTGCCTTTTTCAGCTTCTAGAGCATTCCTTGGCTTGGGACCCCTTCCTTGCCATGCTCCAACCTCTTGCTTCCAATGTGACATCTCCCGCTGCTGACTCTGATTCTCCCGCTTCTCTCTTATAAAGACCTTTGTGGTTATATCAGGCAAACGCAGAAAATTCAGGACACTATCCTCTCTTGTCTGAGGTTAATCACCTTCTAAGGTTAATCACACCAGCAAAGTCCCTTATACCATGTAAAGTAACATTCACAGGTTCCAGAGATTCAGACGTCGACATCTTTAGGGGCCATTATTCAGGCTACTACAGATGTCATAAGTATTGTGGCTATGTACAGTAAAACTGTCATTAATTCTAAAAGATGTGTATTGAATCATTTAGGAGTGAAATGTCATGAAGTCTGTAAGTTACTTTTAAATACTTCATCAAGAGAAAGAAGCAATTGTGACAAAATCGTAATTGTTAGTCTGGGTGGTAGGTATATGCACATCCTTCTCTGTTTTAATTGAAATTTTTCATAATTTTTAAGCTTAATAAACAAAATATTGAAATGCCAATCTAGGGTTTAGAAAGCCCACACACTAACCTATAACTAAACAAGAGTGGACACAAAAGATCAGTTAGTTCGTTAGCTAGTTATTGCAATAGCTCTATTAAAAAGAATACAGTAGTTTGAACCAGGATGATGGAAGTAATGTGGAGAAAAGTGGATGGATGTGCAATATATTTTGCAGGTCAAATCCATGTATGTTGAAGGTTTTTAGAAGGATGAGGGTAAAGTGAGCATCAAGGATAATAAAAATAGACTAAAGGTACTGAGTGTCTACTGTCTAGTCGTTATTCATATTTAATCCTCACAACAAACTTATGAGACAGGCATAATTCGCACCTACGTCTTACCTGCAATTCATTTATCCAACTTTGGGCCTGGGACTAGAGGTGGTAGTCCTCGACGAGACATGGTTTACATTAAAAAGGAGCAGGTGTCTTGGGGTGAGGTGGCTGTGTGGACGTAAAGGGAAGGACGAGTTGGGTAGGCGTTTGCAGGAGCAGGGCCTGCCGGCGATTGGCCGAGCTATTAAGAGAGGGCTGTACAGATCCAGCTGCGCTAGCTAGCGAAAAGCAACGACCCCACTTAGCCCCTCCAGCTACGGTCTCTACTTTCCCTGAGACTTAGGTGGGGAGCGATTGCGCTGAGCCCAGGAGGATGCGGCGCCTGCTGTGGTCTGGGGACACGGCGGGGGGCGCGGGGGGCAGCACCGCCTGCTCCTCTGCTTCCTACTGCTGAACAGCTGCCCAGGGGGCTGCAGAGAGGTGCAGGCAGGGCCAGAGCGCGATCCCCAAAGAAGTGGGTCAGGAGTCCTCAAGGTTAGGAACTTAATAGGAAAAGAATATGTTTGGGGACGTGAAAAGAGATAAATGTAGAGTGTCCTACAGAAAGAGGCGCAAGCTTGGGGTAGGGCTCTGCATATGGGATCTGGACCTAAAAGAGGGGCCAACTCAGGGGGAAATCGGGGAACTGCGAAGAGGGCGGAAAAACAAGCGGGAGGAGAAAAGTAAAGACGGCTTATGCGACCACAGGAGAAGCAAGACTTGCCGAGGGGGCCAGGATTTCTGTACAGTAGGAGCAGATACTGCGGGTATCGGGGCCTGGCTCCGGAAAGAAGGCTGGGCCGAGAGATACGCCAGGGCTTCATCATAAGCCCTCAGAGCCTGGCGTCTGCAATCGGTTTCCGATAAGAAGGGGAAGGCTAGCCAGGAGTAAAAGAGGATGGAGTGGGAAAGGGTCCATCCGTTCCCCCCGCCCCACAACCCCCCCCCGCCCCCCGGCTCTGCGCCAGCGGGGTAGGCCAGCGCAGAATCAAATCTGAGCAGCCAGAGACGAACTGCGCAGACTCGAGGATTCCGCACCCGGCGCGAGGGGAAGACAGCGCAAACTCCTAGCCTGACGCCAACTCTCCCCCTCCCGATTCTTGGGTTTAGAGGCCTATGCAGAAGACTCGCGAAGAACTGTGGGAAGAGGCCTGGTGGCAGATGACAAACCGGGTGGGGGTGGGAGGTGGGGAGGAAGATCAAGCCTTGTGGGAATGCCTCGCCCTCTTTACCGCCCAGAGCTGCCTCTTTGCCAGGCCTATGTCATCTTTCAGCACCACGGACAGCACCAGGCCTCCTGTGAGTCTGAGGGTGTCCAGTTCTCTTTTCCTATCAACCTTGGGAACGCTGCCTCTTCCCTTCCAGAAGCTCTTTTCCTTCTCAGTAGGATGCTGGAGTTTCTGCTTCTACCTACAGCCAGGAAATTGATATTAGGATCCATTTGATTGGGGAAGAATTCCCTTTTCTTAAGGCCTGTTCATAATGACTCATGGTAGTTCCACTACAGAAAAAAATGGACTCTTCCTCCAACCCCACCACATCTACCTGGAATAAGAAAGGTGTGTATAGCATTAGGGACTATCCTACCCCACCCCTTGTCCTTCCCCTATGCACAGTTGGGCAAACTGTGGCTTTCAGGACAAGGATCCAAACACAATCAAACCCTATACATACCAATACTTTCCCCTATAAGGATTCCAGGCCTCCTCTCTAATCTCCTTCCCTCATATCTGGCTTCAGATCTTTCCATGAGATGAAGTTCACCTGCTTCTCATGCCCCCTCTGTTCACCTGATTATGTATTCCATGTGTATAGCTAAGTTTCTGCTTACCTACAGGCTACTCTTTGCCTGCAGCCTTGGTTCTTACCTGGAAGTTGGTACCAAAGGTGAATGAGGTGTAGGGCCTGAAGAACAGGGCAGGTGGTGATGGGGAAAGGCAAAATGAAGAGAAGGAGCACTTGAAAGGAAGAAGGAATCTGGTTGGGGGTGGGGGAACAGAGACCAGGAAAGCCAGAGGTTATAGTTGAAGCTACTTTTCTTCAACTTGGAGTGTGAAGTCTTCTGGCCAAGTTCCTTACTGAAGCCACTATTTTGCCCTGAGATGGTCAGGGCCAAGTGGGAGTAGGGCAGCTCTGACCCTTCCAAGGATTCACTACCCCAGTCTTCCAGCACTGGCAAGTTGTACGCCAGCAGATTGGGCCCCGAGGTAAGTAAGAGCTGGAGAAGAGAGGCTAGGGCCTGGTCAGATATGAGGGGAGGGGGGATAGTGAAGGGCTGTTTGATCTGAAGACAGCCTTCCTTCTTCAAATGCGTCTACTTGAAACTCTCCTGTTATGCTCACCTCATGGAGAAGGGGTGAGACTGGGGGGTGGCAGGTGGAGTTGGATGGGTTTTTTGTCCTTAAACACTCTTGAGAAGAGCCCAGCAAAGGCTTCTAGAAGAAACCCCTCAAAGAAGCCAGCATCTAACTCCTTTGGACTAGTCCCAAACCCTGGCCCTATCTGAGTGTTTCCAGAGTCAGGAATCCTCAAGTTCTCAGCCAGAAGAACACCCACCCAGCCCTGTGTCTGAGTAGGAAGCAGAGCAAATTGTATGACAAATACAGAAGAGGAATGAAAGGGAGTGGACGGTCCCTGGGAGACAGATGGCTGGCCCTTCCTTAAAGTAGAGTTTCATGAATGGGGAGAAGAGCAGATAAGAAATCTATCTAGAGTTCATATTACTACTACTACTACTACTACTACTACTACTACTACTACTACTGGCGTCTAATATGAGTATAATGCCTTAGAACAGTGGTTCTCAAAGTGCATCCTAGGACCAGCAGCATCAGCCTCATCAGGGAACTTGTTAGAAATGCTAGTTCTTGAGCTTCACCCCAGACCTACTGAATCAGAAACTGTGGGGAACAGTAATTTGTATCTTAACAAGCCAGGAGATTTTAATGCACACTGAAGTTTGTAGAGTTTCGTAAGCACTCTACCTCCCTAATCTCATTTAATCCTCAGAATAGCATCAAAGGAATCAGCAAAGAGAATATAATCCTAATCCTAATTGAATATGTATCACATGCCAGGCACTATGCTAAACAACTTTTATATACCATCTCATTTAATTCTCTCCACAAATTGTGATTGTTTACCTACTTGAGAGAGAGGGGTAGTATTAATCTCACCTAGTCCCTGGAGTGGGCCTGAGTGTCCCACATGTCAACTCACTGCATCCTTTCACCCTGCAGGTTCGTTCTGGAAGGATGACATCACCCAGGATGTGATGACCCAGAAGGTGGAGCACATCAGCAGACTCCACCCCCAAGACCACTGGGGTAAGGTGCGTGAGGTCTATGGCAGTCCATGCTGTCTGGTGGACAGACAGAGCACATAGGGAACAGGTATTAAAACTGCAGGTAAGAGCTGCCAAGAACACATTGAAAATGATCCAGAGGTCCTGTCTGGGATCTGTAGGAAACAATTCCATGAGCCATTAGTGATGTCTGCAAAAGGAGAGGAGGTGGGTGTTAGCAAGCCTAGCTTCCATTTGTCATCCCTGTCTCTTCCAGGAGCAAGCAGGAAGAGAAACTTAGACTCCTTTTCCCCAAGGTGAGACTCATGTGTCTTCTAAAGAATTTTAAGTCTCTGCCTTTGGATCCCATCTCTTTCCTTGTGGGGCTCTGTCGCCCTTCTCTGATTCCTTGACTCCTGGCTTCCCTCCTCACAGAGCCCAACGGCTGAGGTGAACAAGGATCAGTGCTTTACCTCTAAAGTGGTTTTGAAGGCCCTGAACAAGAGATGGCCAAGCCTGTCAAGGTGAGGGGCTTACTTTTTCTAGGGAGGTTGGAATCCCCAAGAACCTGTTTATTTTTTTAATTTATTTTTAAAAAGATTTTATTGGGGAATTGGGGGAGGGGACAGCATTGGGGAATCTGGGAAGGGGAACAGACAAGTTGCTGTCCTTTTGTTCTTCAGTCTAGTTGTGGAGGACGTCGCTTCACTGGCCCATGTTGGTATTGTGATATTGCGTTTTTCCCAGGTGAGGCAGATCGGTCACCAGCCACTGGACGACTGCTCACGCCAGCTGCCGGCCACTCACGGTACCTTACAGCAGCCCACTGCAGCCCCACTGCAGCCTATTCCTTTGCCACGACTCACAGCAGCCCAGCTCCAGGTGGAGCTGTTGTTCACCATCTTAGCTGTGGAGGGCAGCGTCACTAGCCTATGTGGGATCCCAATCGGCAGCCCTGCTGCTCAGAGCTCACACTCCCATACCAACTCTTAACCAATGAGCCACTCAGTTGGCCAGCCAAGGACCTGTTTAGATGAGGGAGGCAGGCATGAAGAAGGCAATGGGTATTGAGGTGTGAATGGATATGCTGAAAAAAAGATATTTCTTTTTCCAATCAAAGGGTACCCCCACTTTCCTTTTCTCTTTCACAGACCACCTATGGATATACATATGAGAGGTTGCAAGTAAATGGGAGTCTCTAAGGACAAAATGATCTATAGTTTCATGCATAGGCATTGAAAACTGCAGAGTTTTCAAAATTAAATAAAAGATCTTCCTCTTCTCCATACATTCCCTTGTTTATATCAAGTGATAGCAAAGCTCCTTTGGATAAATAGAAGAGGTAGCCCAGAGGCCTTCACATTCAGAACACACACACACACACACACACACACACACACACACACACACACACCACCTTGCTCTACTCTGTGGCCTGAGCAAGTCATCTGGATAAAGCTCTGAGTTATTTCCTTGAGATGCTTGAATCCTTCAGAATCCAGATTGAAAACACCCACTTAGCCCTCCCATCTATGTTTCTAGATGAGATGCTGGGGCTCAGTCTGGTTAAGGGCTGTGTAGCAGATTCACGGTAGAAGCAAGACTGGACCCAGGTACCCTGCACAGCCCCTGCCCTTTCTCTCAGGGACTGCAGTGGTTTTGGGGCTGTGCCACACATCAGGCCCTTCCACATGGACAAAATTTTTTTTTTTTGACTAAGACCAAAATTACAAGAAGGTGGCAGCCAGAGGAAGCTGTAAAAGAAGGGCCTCCCAGGCAAAGAACACTGCAATGACAAATATCCTCAGACAAGGATACCAGGGTCTGTTAGAGAAGCAGACAGAAAAGTCAGTGGTAGAAGATTAGGTTGGAGAAGGAGGCCCAGGACTGACCAGACAGAGCCTCACAGATCATGGTAAAAAAAATAAATAAATAAAATAATAATAATAATAATAATAATAATAATAATAATAATAATTAGGGCTGGCCGAGTGGCGCGTTGGTTAGGAGTTGGCTTGGGATGCCAGCTCTGAGCAGCAGGGCCCCAGTTCAGATCCCACAGGAGGGCCAGTGATGCTGCAACCTCTACAGCTAAGATGGTGAACAACAGCTCGACCTGGAGCTGGGCTGCCGTGAGTCGCGGCAAAGGAATAGGCTGCAGTGGGCTTCTGTGAGCTACCGTGAGACACTGGCAGCTGGCGTGAGCAGCCGTCCAATGGCCGGCGAGTGACTGCCTCACCCAGGAAGAGCACAATGATAATACCAACCTGGGCCAGTGAAACGACATCCTCCACAACTAGACTGAAGAACAAAAAAGGACAGCAACTTATCTGTTTCCCTTCCCTGATTCCCCAACGCTGTTCCCCTCCCCCAAATCCCCAATAAAATCTTCACACACACACACACACACACACACACACACAAATTAAAAAAAATTTTAAGTGGCTTTTATTTTAAGTATAGTGGCAGGTTAACTGGGAAATTTTAAGGAAGGAGATGTCATAATGTGATAGACAGTTTTAAAAGGCCACTCTAGTGATGTTGGAGAATGGATTGTGAAAAGAGCAAGAGTGAAAACTGAGAGGCCTGTAAGGAATGGATCACCCTGGTCCAAGGAGGACTGAGGTGGCCTGGACTGGGGTGGTGACAGTGGAGCTAGCATCTCCAGCTAGCTGTGCTCTCCATCCAGAGGCAGCCTACATCTCAGGGGGCTCCCAGCCCCTCATGCTTTCCTAGGAAACTGGTTCCCTTGGTTCCCACTCCTGCGAGGTGGCAGCTGGGCTTCCTAAGCCTGGGCTGGTTGCTGAGTTTATGCACTCCGAGCTAAATGACAGACCCACCTGTGAGGGACTGGTTGCTGGGGTGCTTCTGCAAATGCAAACAAGGTGTTGCCATTCTTCTCCAGCCCTGAGCCCAAGGGAAAATCACAGGAGTGAGCATAAACTACATGTGGGAGCCAGGGAGACAGGCACTCAATCAGTGGGCTGAGTCACTGTAGACTTACTCAAACCAGGTTGTGATTGAAACACATAGGGAAGGAGGCTAGGTGAGGGAGGGGCTACAAACTGATTCCAACCCTTCGTTTCTTCTTGTTTTAGGGCTTCTTTGAGCCACCCCCTGCTGTGGGCCAACAACCTTCTCACTGATTGAGACCTTGTGAGAAGCCTCTCTGCCCCAATTCCCTCCCCATTGCCCCCCAGAGGGAGCAGTTCTAAGATGACTCAAACCTGGATCATTAAAGTGGACTTTGATGCAAAGTCTTTCTGTGACTTGGCTTGAGGCAGGATGGGTAGGGTTTGGACCTGGTCAGAGCCTCCAAAGGAAGAGAGGTGGGACCAGAGCAGGGGTGGGGTGAGGAAAGCACAGCTCCTCATTGGGTGCTCACGGCGGCTGGTCTCTGTCTTCCTCTCAGTGACCATTCCTGCAGTGGGGAAAATGAGGGTGGTACTACAGTTGGAATGTCAGCCTTCTCCACCTACACCCAGCTATGTTGGGTGGTCTAGTTGCCCACCCTTCCATGTCAGACAGGCCTGCGCCCTGCTGTTTTATGGGGGTCTCCACCTCCAGCATTACAGCCCCTGCCAGGGCTTTCCCACTCATCTAGTTCCCAAGAATCAACAGGGAAGTACTGTGATCAAAGTGTAGGCACAATAACTATTTTGATAGCTCTTGCCAGTTTGCTCCTAGGAGCTTAAAATCTTAAAAGGGAGTGAGTAATCTGACTACCCATGCTCAGCCCAACTAAACACCACAATACCTTACTTGCAGAACTTCATACTTCTCAAAGTACTCTCACACGTTGGATACTCACAAGTGTCAGCAAATGGGCAGGTATCAAGATTTAATGTTTCTAAGGAGTAACAGAGTTGTATACACGTATTAATAATCATACAGTTATAAACAGAAGTTTGTATACTTTACTGGATATAAGTTATACTTTAATAATAAATAATAAGTATGAACCTCTCAAAATGTAAAAAGTGAATAAGAGAAAAAATGTTTTTGAAAAGAAGATGGATGATTTGCTCTACATGATATCAAGACAAAGTATGAAGTTGTAGTAATTAAGAAAGTGTGGTATTGATGCAAAGATGATATGTAGATCTATGAAATAAAGACCCCATAGATAGACACACAACAATGTGGACACTTTATAATAAAGATGGTACTGCAGAGAAGAAAAGGTAATCTTTTCAATACATAGTTCAGGAACAACTGGGTGCCCTTGTAGAAGAAAAATTCACTTTTATCCATAACTTAAAACATACACACAAATATAAGCTAATGTGAAGAATTAAACAATGAAGTTTATTCTATAGCTTAAAGCCATTTGATGGTTTTAATGCAATTCTATGAACTCCTACTCTACAAAACTTTGTGGATGAAGCATTTAGAAGGTAGTATAAGAAAATAACTCCATGTTCTATGGGTTGGAAAAGATTTCTTAAAGAGGAAACAAAAGTGCTAAAGATAGTACATTAAATAAAGAACATCTATAAACTCCCTTACAGCTTAAATAAGACAGTGTTAGGGTATAATATTGTGTCTGCTGCTATGTAAACACAAACTTCTTCTAGCTGTCTTTCCTAATAAAAATGGAAAAGAAATAATTTTTTAAGTCAGTGGTTGTCCAGTAGAAATATAATTTATAAATATATATGTAATTTTTAAATTTCTAGTAATCACATTTTTTTTAAGTAAAAAAGAATTAAGGCTATGTCAACTCCCTTGTCCTTTGTAAAAATATGGTTTGGAAAGACGTTTTTTACTTTGATATCCCACAGAAAATCACACTAGTCCATTATTTGATGATATTGTGCCAACTGGATATGGTGAGCAAGATGCAGCAAGTACCCTAGATGCCATAAGACATATGCATGGAAGAAGAACCTCAAGAAAGCTCAGAGTCCTTCTACATCAGTGAAGTTTCTAGGGTCCAATTGTCTGTGGTATGTTGACATGCTCTCTCAAAAGTGAGACAAATTACTTCATATCTACCACAATAAAGAGAGAGAGAGAGAGAGAGAGAGAGAGAGAGAGAGAGAGAGAGAGAGTACTCTTTGTGAAAGAATGGGCCTCTTTGGCAGTTGAGGCAAAATACAACACATTTCAATGTGCTACTCTGACCCATTTACCATTAACCCATCAGGCTCCTAGTATGGCCTGAAGCAAGAAAGTGTTCTGCAACAGCATCAGGTTGCAATGCAAGCAGTCCTTTCTGAGAATGTTTCAAAACTGATGAAAGATATCAAGCTACACAGTCAAGAAGCCCTTTGAATCTCAAGGAGAGTAAATAAAAAGAAACCCCTCCCTGGTCACAACCTAGTAAAACTGTTGACAAGCAAAGACATGTTACCTACAAAGGAGTAACAAATATACTGACAAATGATTTCTCCAAATTAAAACAAAACAAAACAGAGAGAAGGGTATTAAGTGAGCAGAAACCTTAAGTTTGCCCCTTGGATCTACTCTCCACTTGACTTCACCTCCCTGTTTTCTGTCCAAAGAGGCTGACTGACCTGTATGAGCTCCTTCTTTCTCTGGATTCTGATTAGGTTAGGGCAATGGGAATACCTAAAAAGAGAACAGAGAGAGAAAACGAAGAATGAGGAGCAAGTATTTATTTCCCCAGTGTCCTCCCTGTGAGGTTGTTACAGGTTGTCTGCTTCCCCTGGCATACATGTGCTAGGAAACATGTACAAGAGTATACATATTCACACTATGCATTCATGATAACCCAAGACTGGGGCTAATCCAAAAATCCGTATTTCTTTGCTTTCCTTTACCAAAGCATGCATCCTTAGATTATAAAATTGTAAAGAAAAGCAAAGAAACACGGTCAACAAGAGAATGGATAATGGTTACCTTTGGAAAGAAAGAATGAGTGGGGGACACAATAAGGCTTCTAGGGTACAGGAAATGTTCTATATCTTGACCTGGGCTACCTGGGTATTCACTTTGTGATCATTTATTGAGCTGTTCATTTTTGTTTTATGAATTTTTCTGTCTATTATATTTCATAATTTACAAAGTCTTTTAAAAGGAAATAAATGGGAATAAGTGGTCAAAGTGGCAGGGGGAATTGTGGAAGGTGCAAAGACTTCCCTGAGTATATCTTATTATACAGTTTTGATTTTTGAACAACGAAAATATTTTACATATTCAAAATATAAAATTATATAAAAATGAAAAATCAAACCCTAAAATTGAAAACAAACTGAAACAAACATACGAAATTGTATATCAAATTGTTAAAAATGACTACACAAACAAAAGAACTATTTCAAATTACTTTAGAACACAACATTTTGATGGTATACTCCTAGGGGTTATATTCTAAGGACAAAATAAACTACCAAAAGTCTTAAACGTATTCATTATTTATTAGCAGACTACTACATATATTATTATTTATAAATTATTGTATGCATGTTGTAGGATTGAACATATAAGTGATTATGTTAATGTCATTAGGAACTGAAATTTTCAGTGTAAGAATAAAGAGATACAAGTATAAACTCAAAAGAGTTCAGTAAAAATCACAGATACATTTTAATCAGAGATAGTGTGTGTGTGTATCTTAATATCCTAGCTCTGTGTATTGAAAGGCCTAGAAGCAACATCACCTCAGTAGCCATTATCACCCCTAAAACCCGTATGCAGTCTCTAAGGTCAGTCCTTACTGAAAGCTACCAAGTCTCTTTGGAGGGATGGCTGCTCCCATGTCTAGGTCAGGGAATAAAAACAGATGAATCTGGTACATCTTAGAGTGATAGAAAGCAAGGGAGCTTTCAGTGATTAATGGGATGTTTCAGAAGGAGATCAGAACCAGTTTAAAGGAATTTTTACTGACTTACTCTGGGACAATTTGAATATCAAAGAGAATAATTATTGCAACTGATTGATACACACTGAATATATAAAAATCCATATTTTCATAGTAGTGCTCAAGCAAGAAAAGTCATGAAAATATTTTTTTAAAAATTATTTGTCATTGTTGGAGTTAACTATTACACCAGCTCATTACTCTGCAAATTGGTAGTGGAAGAGAAAAAACTAAGAATGTATGTTGCCTCTCCAGTTGGACTTATATTTCAGGGTAACTAAACCCAGTTGATGAGAAAAAGCTCCTCTTTATGAAATAATATCAGCTAACAAATGTTAAAGGAATGATAGAAACAAATCACCATTTTGCAACCTCTAATGAAATCATTTAGTCAAGGATCAGGCACACCATTAAGTGAAAAGTTGATAGGGAACTAGATATTCTCAATATGCCAAAATATCTTCCCATGGATCACATACGCAGTCTGACAACTAAGTTCATGAACTCATCCTAGAAAAAGTGCTATATACCTTATTGCTGAATATCACTATGTTCATCTTTGAAGTATTCCCCTTGGGAAGCTATGCACCAATGCCAGCGCCTAGTGCACTCTTCAAAGCAATTTTGGAACTCTTTTTCTGGAATGGCCATCAGAGCTGTCATCGTATTACCCTTGATGTCCTGAATGTCTTCAAAATGTCTTCCTTTCAATATTTCCTTTATCTTCAGGTAAAGAAAGAAGTCATCGGGGGCCAGATCAGGTGAGTAGGGAGGGTTCCAATACAGTTATTTGTTTACTAGCTAAAAACTCCCTCACAGACAGTGCTGTGTCAGCTAGTGCATTTTCGTGATGCAAGAGCCATGAATTGTTGGTGAAAAGTTGAGGTCATCTAATTTTTCACGCAGCCTTTTTAGCATTTCCAAGCTTGGTTTGGAAGTAAACCAGTAAACTTGGTTAACAGATTGTCCAGTTGGTACAAATTCATAAAGAATAATCCCTCTGATATTTAAAAAGTTAGCAACATTGTTGCAAAAAGATTGTGAACTTAATTGTCAGACCTAGTATTGGTCACTAGAGGAAAACATAATTGTACATACAGAGATCTGGCTGTCTCTACCTTAAATCAGTGATCAATCTAGCATCATTAATAGTGGTAAGCCAGACATTATGCACTTCCTGAAATGATGTGTTTGGGACATACAGCATCACCTACAAAGTATTTTGCTTTTAAAAAATTTTAACCCAACACAAGACTTTAGATATAACTTCTAGTTTACAGGAAATGCAGGGAAAATACAGAATATATACAGGGGAAATACAGGGAACTATATCATGAGAAAACAATCAGACAAATCCAGAAGGTGGGCGTTGTAAAGAAAAGCTGACCTGGTCTCTTCAACAAGAAAATGTCAAAAATGGGGTGGGAGATGGGATTGGGGGAGCCCTGTCTATGCTAATTTAAACAGAATTAAGGAACATAACCAAAAGCAATGGTGGTCTATGACTCCTATTGTATTTTATTTATTTATTTATTTATTTTTAACGATTTTTATTTGGGAATTGGGGGAGAGAACAGCGTTGGGGAATTGGGGAAGGGGAACAGGTAAGTTACTGTCCTTTTTTTCTTCAGTCTAGTTGTGGAGGATATTGCTTCACTGGCCCATGTTGGTACTGTGATCATTGCGTTCTTCCCGAGTGAGGCAGATCAGTCGCCGGCTATTGGACGGCCGCTCACGGTGGCTCATGGCAGCTCACGCCGGCTGCTTGCTGCTCATGCTGGCTGTCGGCCACTCATGGTAGCTCACGGCAGCCCACTGAAGCCCACTGCAGCCTACCCTGCAGCAGGCCACACTCACAGCAGCCCAGCTCCAGGTAGAGCTGTTGTTCACCATCTTAGCTGTAGAGGGCGCAGCATCACTGGCCCTTGTGGGATCCAAACCGGCGGCCCTGCTGCTCAGAGCTCGCACTCCCAAGCCAACTCTTAACCAACAAGCCACTCGGCCAACCTATGACTTCTATTTTAAACAAAACAGCTGGAAAAAAGGCATTTTTGGAAACAATTTGAGAAATATGAATATGAACTGAGCATCAAATTATATTTGGGCATTATTGTAAATTTTGTTAGATGTCATAGTGGCATTTTTGTTGTGTGAGAAATATCTTTATTTCTTGAACATGTATATTGAAATATTTATATGGGAAATACGATGTCTATTACTTTTAAAACTTAAAATGAAGCAAATATGGCAAAATATCGGTAACTGTTAAGTCTAGACGATGAGTGTATGAGTATTTACTATGCACTACTATCTTTTTTGTATTTTGGAAAATTTTTAACTGAAAAACAAGAGAGTAAAGTGATCAAATTTGAACTTTACAAAGCTCACTCCCTAGCTTATTGGGTGGCAGGAGTGGAAGCGAAAGACTAATTACTGCAATAGTCATGAAGAAAGAGCACAGTGGTGTAGGTAGGATAGTGAGTATGGAGAGAACTGGGCTGATCAGAGATGTATTTTGCAGGTAGGAACCATAAGATTGTTGGTAGACTCGAGGTAGAAGAGGGCGAAAGAAAGGAGAGTCAAGGCTAATAACAAAAGCGAATATGTATCCAGTGTTCCGTGTATGCCAGGGCAGTTGTTGTTCTAAGCGATTCACATGAGCTTAATTCCTGTAATCCTCACAACCACCTGGTGAGCTAGGTACTATCGGCACCTCCATTTTACAGATCAGGCAATTTGGGTGCAGGGAAGTTAATCAGCTTGCCCAAAGTTATACCCTCAGTAGGTGGCGTTGTTAGAACTGGAATCTAGGCACACACGCATAGCTATTCCTGCCATTAAGGATGACATTGGTGCCATTAATTGAGATGCATAAGAGTACGTATTCTATTCCTTTTTATGCTCTCCATCTTAGTGTTTATACTAACCAACTTCTGTATCTTTCCTGGCTCCCATCCAACTAAATAACCATTTTCGTTAACCCAGGAACTGGGTAATAGAAGTGGTGGTCCTTGGGGAGCAGCATATGTCAAAAGGGTAAGGACAAGTGGGAATTCTAGTGAGGCGCCTATTTGGTGGACGAGGGACGAGGTGGACAACTCCCCCGGTAAGACAGTGCTCTTACGCCACGTATGACGCAAATAAGCGTAAGAGTCGGGGGTGGAGACGTCGTCACCACCCTCGGGACGTGTAGATCCCGCCTCGTAGGTGGGTGGGGACTGGCAGGCCCCGCCCTGGACCCTCTGGCAGGCTGTGGTCCACGTAGCTGCGGCTCGGGCAGCAGAGCGAGCGCGCGGAGCCCGGGAGGATGCGGCGCCCCCGGCGGCCTGGGGGTCCCGGAGGATCCGGGGGTCTTCGGGTGCTCCTCTGCCTCCTACTGCTGAGCAGCCGCCCAGGAGGCTGCAGCGCCATTAGTGCCCACGGTCAGGAGGAAACGGGGAGCGAGGCGGGGGGAGTGGGGCGCGGGGGAAGGAGGGGAATATGGTGCTGGGAGCAAAACTCCGTGGGGGTGCGGGGAAGAGTCTCGAAGGTAGGAAGCTCGAGTAGAATATGTGTGGAGTGGGGTAGGGCAAGCCCTGTGAGATGAGGAAAAAGAGGGCGTCTGAGGAAAGGGGCGTAGGCCTGGAGGTGGGGCTGGACATACGGGGGCGGGACCCAAGAGAAGCGAACTCGGGGAAGATTGCGGATTTGGGAGGAGAAACAGGGGTGGAAATGGACAGAGGGACTTATAGATGGGCTACAAGACCACGGGAGAAGCTAGTTGCGCCGAGGCGCCAAAGAAGTGGCCACTGGCACCGAGGGGTGGAAAGGCGGTAGAGGGAGGGAGAGGGAACTCCGATCTCCCGATAGTAGGAGTCCGGGCCGTGAGCGTCGGGGTCCCAGCTCCCAGTAGAAAATCAGGCCGAGCGAAGGCTCAGCGTTTCTCTTTATGCCTAGAGAGGTCAATTGCTTCGATCTGATCTCCGATAAGAGGGATACAGCAGGGGATGAGGGCGGAAGAGCGCGAGAAGGAAGGGTCCTCTCCGGTCCCCCTCCCCACAGCCGGCCCTGGTGCTGACTCACATCTTAGAGGACAGAGACAGTCAGCGCTGACTCATGGGCCAGGGGAGGGTGGGGGCGAGGGGCGCGTGGGGGAAGGGGCACAGCCCAGCTGTCAGGCTCCCTCCTTCACCACTGGGCTTGGAGGCCAATGCAGGATACTTCCTGTGGCGCTGTGGGTTAGCAGGGTGGTAGATGAATCCTGGAGCGGCGGAGGGGTCACATCGCTTGGAGACTCCTCTCCTTGTCACCCCTCCCTCCCCCATAACTGCTTCCAGGCAAGCCCTCGGCGGCTCCAGGCTCAGAGCTTCAGCACCGCGGACAGAGACAGCTGCACCGGACTTGAGGGACAGTGTAGGAAGAAGCATTGCCTTAGACACATCTCACCCTTCCTCCTTTCCCACATGGAGGGGAGATGTGCTAGGGTTTTTACCTTTTCTGGATCCCAGGCCGTCAGTTAGGATGCTTTTGGAGCTTTGGGAAGGAAAGTCCTCTTTTCCTCAAAATTTGGCCATAAACGTCTCTCATTCCATGAGAGCATAAATGTGTGCTCCTCCACTATCACCACCCCCATGCACCTGGAAGTCTTCTCCCCATCACTCAGTTAAGCAAACTGAAGCTTTTAGGGAAAGGATCCAGACTCACAGATCCTTAAAATCCAAAGCCATATCCTGTGTCTCCTTCTCTTAAGTATTCTAGACTTCCTCCCTCCTCTCCTCCCAGCTTACAGCCTTCCTTAGAAAGAGAGAGTGGACCCATATGCTTTCCCCTTTCTCAGCATGCCCATCCGTCTGAACATTCTATGCGTGTGGGTGTCTGAATCTCTGCCCTCCTATCCCTTTACAGGCTGTCTGTTTGACCGGAGACTCTGCTCTCACCTTGAAGTCTGTATTCAGGGTGAGTGAAGCCCGAGCATAGGATTTACAAGATGGGGAGACACAATAACAAAAACTTGGGGGAGGTCTGGAAGGGAGGAGGGGTACTGGGCTTGGGCAAAAGGGGGACTGGCCTGGAGGAGCAGAGCTCTCTGAAGCCAAGAGAAGAGATGAAGAGAGTCCTGCCCATTAGCAACGTGAACTTTGGAAGGCCTTTTGTCTAAACCCCCTACTGACACCACTTTTGTCTTCTTAGATGGCTTATTTGGACAGTGCCAGGTGGGAGTGGGGCAGGCTCGGCCCCTTTTGCAAGTCACCTCCCCTGTTCTTCAACGTTTACAAGGTGTGCTCCGACAGCTCATGTCCCAAGGTGAGGTCTAGATTCATTGGAGGAGAGAGACTGGAACTTGATTAGATAAGGGTGGGGAAGGGGAGGGCCATCTGACTCAAGGATTTCTCTCATGGAACATTCCTATTACACCCACTCCTGGGGCCGCACCTTCCCAAACCTTGCTGGAGAAGGAGGCGAAATGGAAGTGTCGTAGAACCTTAGAGATGGGCTGCTCACATGTAGACTTTCTGGAGGAGTCCAGAAAAGGCTTCTAGAAGAAGCCACTGTAAGAGGCCAGCATCCATCTCCTTAGGGTCATCCCAATCCCTGGAACTCTCTGAGTGCTCCAGAGCTATGAATTCTGGAGTCTTCAGTCACAAGAACACCCCACTCATCCAGTTCACTCGTTCAACAAGTACTTATTGGGTATTTACTATGTGGCAAGCATAGCTTTAGGTGCTTGGGATGTATCAGGGAATAAAACAGACAAAGCTCTCTGTTTACTGGATTTTACTTTCCAGGGTGAGGGGAGGGAATACACTAAATAAATTGAAAATAAATAGACTGCTGGAAGGTGATAAGTGCCATAGAAAAAAACAAATATTGCAACAGGATAAAGAGATCAGAAATTGTGAGGGAAGAAGCTGCAGTATTAAATTGAGTGGTCAAAATAGACCTCATTGAGACTATGAAATTTGAAAGACATCAAGGAGGTGGAGGTGTTTTCCAGAAGGTTATCTGGGGGTGGGGTGATAGTATTTCAGACCAGACAAAGAGCTAGAATAAAAGCCCTCAGATAAGAGCATGAGTTTGAGGAACACCATGGCGACCACCTCTATAGTGTGGCTGTAGAGAAGTGACAGAGAGGCAGAATAGAAGATGCATTCAAGTAGCTAATGGGGAAGGAAAGCAGATCACTATAGGGCCTTGTAGGAGAATGTATAGATGTTGGCTTGAGTCTGAATAAGAGGACACCATCACAAGGTTTTGAGCATAGGGGTGTGTAATCTCACCTCTACTTTAAAAGGATCACTCTTGCTGCTATTTTGAGAATAGAATGTAGGGGATTCAAGGTTAGAAAGAGAGACCATTAAAATCTACCACAACAACTCATATAAGAGATATATGTGGCATGGACCAGGGTGGTTGCAGGCAGGTAGTGAGGAATGACAGGATTCTGTATATATTTTTAAGGTAGTGAGCATGATTTCATGAAGTGTTGGATATGGCTGTGAAATAAAGGAAGGAGTCAAGGATGACACGCAGGTTTTACTGACTAAACAACTGGGTTGATGGAGATGTCATTAGCTATGCGGGAGGATCAACTTGGGGGAAAGAGTGTTTTAGTTTTAAATATACTGAGTTTAAGATGTCCATTCAAGTAGAGTGGGCAGTTGAGTACATAGATTGATTGGGTTTTGAAAGAGAGAGAGAGGTCTGCAGTGGAGATTTAAATTTGGAATTCTTTGGTATGTATATGGTAATTAAACCCAGGAGGTGGATGAGATAACCAAAGGATTGAGTGTTTATGAAGACAAGCCCTAGAGAATTCTAATAGTAAGAGGACCAGGAGAAGAAGAGGAACCAACAAGGGAGCCTGGAAAAGGGGTCCAGTTGAGATAGGAGAAGAAACAAGAGTGTTTGGTGTCATGGAAGGCAAGTGAAAGTGTACAAGGAAGGAGCAATCAACAGTGAAATGATGGTGGTAGGTTAAGTGAGAGGAGATCTGAGAACTGACCACTGGATTTAGATATAGAGAAGCCACGGTGATCTTGATAAAAAGCAGTTTTGGTAGAATAGTTGGGAATAAAACCCTGAATAGATTGGTTTGAGAAGAAATGGGGCGGGGGGTGAATGGATACAGCCAGTATAGATAACACTTTCAAGGAATCTTGCTATAAAGAAAAGCAAAGAAATGGGGTGATTCAGGGGAATGTGAGATCGAGCATTATTTTTGAAATGTCATCATGTGTGTATGCTAATGGGAATAATTCTGTAGAATACAGGAGATGATGGTGTAGGATATAAGGGAGAATTACAGGGAAGATGTTCTTGAGTAGGTGGTAGAGGATGAAATCTAGCGCTCAAGTGGAGGAATTGGCCTTAAATAGGAATGCAGTGCGTGTAATGTTAATAGGCATAAAAGGAAATATGAGTGCCGGTAGACCCCAGAAAGGAGTTAAGAGCAGTACAGACTGTTAATCCAGAACCAGGGAAGAAGGAATAGAAGTAGAGAGTGGGAGATTATTCCTTTAGAATAGGTGACTGACCTTTCCTGGTGGGAAAGGGTTAAACAGGGGATCTGCCTCAGGATAAGATGGTTATGATGGTGATGATGGTGGTGGTGGTGGTGATGGTGATGATGATGGAGACAGAGGACGAGTTTTAAAACAGGTATATAGTGCTTTACAGTTTTCTAAGGACTTTCACTTCCTTCATTGCACTTGAACTTCACAACAGCCCCATGAAGTATACATTATTCCCACTTTACAAATAAAGAAAACTAAGGTTCAGGATCAACAAAAAGAAGAATAGGAATAATAATTATGATGATGATGATAATAATAACATTTACTGATAATTCACTATGTGACAGGTACTATTATAATCATTTTATATTGTGTTATTTAATTATCACAACAATCTTAGGCAGCATAAACTCTCATTTTACAGATGAGAGAATTGAGGCTCAGACAGGTTCAGCAAATTGCCCAAGGTCACCCAATTTGTAAGTGGCAGAGAATTCAAACCCAGTCTGACTGGAGGCAGTCTAATTCCAAAATCAGTTCCTGAGGGCGGGGAAAGGACACTTCTGATCACCCATCAGGTCTCCAGACTTTCTCACTCTCCCTCTGCTCTTTCAAACTCAATACTGCAGGGCAGGGGGTGCAGTTTTGATCTCTACTGGGCTCTGTTACTGGTCCCTCAGACCGTCCTGAACCAACCTCACCCTATCCTGTCCCCTGGCAGGATTGTCCTGGCACGATGACCTCACCCAGTATGTGATCTCCCAGGAGATGGAACGCATCCCTAGGCTTCGCCCCCCAGAGCCTCATCCAAGGGACAGGTAAGTATCCTTTCTCAACCACGCTAGCATGGCAAGGCTGGTGGGGCTGGGGTCTTGCTGATGGATGGGGCAGGAAGGAATGGTGTGGGCACCAAGGGTAGCAGGCTGGGGCATGGGGATAAGGGGTTCAAGAATGGTCATCCGACATGCCCACACACCCAGGAGGAGCTGAGGTCATTTCTGGGGATCCAGCAAAACAGAGGCATCTTTAAAATGTGAAAAACTTGGATATTTGGCATTTTAAAAGAAGCATCAAAGTAGTCATCATGGGAAAATTAGAAATTTGTTGGACTAAAGTTGTTTAATGTTCAGTGTCATTACTATGTGGAATTGTATATGGTAGGAGAGCTAGTTGTCTTCTGTGGTTAGAGACCCTGAAGGCAGTGTTCAGGCCCTGTAAAGCAGAGGAAAGGAAATGAGAGCTTGGAGCTCAGGTGATGATACCAGGATGAAGACGGCAGAGGGATGGGGGTGGGGCAGAGTGGGAGGGCACAGTATTGCATACTGGAACCTACACCTGGAGAGCCAGGTGTGAGACATACACACAGGGGCCATGGGCAAGCTGCAGCCACAGTTCACCGAGAGAGGTTCCCAGCTTCCTTCCTCTGCTCCTGATATCCCCTTCTCCTTCCTAGCCTCACACTTCCCTAGCCTCTGCCGCTGTGTTTCAGGGACCCACGCATGCTTACCAGGAGGCAATGACCTCTGCCTCAGGTTTGGCTCTCTGACCCTTCCTCATGCTACTCTCTCCTCCGCGAGGCTGCCTCATTTCTTAAGGGGTCAGACTTACTCCACACTACTGAGCCTGTGTGGCCTCACCAGCTCTGCCTCATAGGCTCTGTATGCCCTTGCCACACACCGCGCGCCCGCGCGCGCGCACACACACACTCACACACACACTTTGCTTTCCTCCCCAGATCTGGCTTGGTGCCCAGAAGACCTGGTCCTGCTGGGGAACTGCTTTTGCAGGCCATCCCCACTGCCTCTGCCCCTGCTGCCCAGCACCGGCTAACTCAACCTCCAGTGGGTGGGGATGGAGCTGGGGCGGGCTCTCCACTGACCCCTGTGCAGGCTGAGCTGCTGCCCCCTCTCTTGGAGCATCTGCTGCTGCCCCCACAGCCCCCCCACCCTGCCCTGAGTTATGAACCTGCCCTGCTGCAGCCTTACTTTTTCCATCAGGTGAGCCCCACAAACTGGCCTCCCCAACCCCAACCCCCCAGCCCTAATGCCTGCTTACCTGGATCTCTGGTTTCCCACAGTTTGGCTCCCGAGATGGCTCCCGGGGCTCAGAGAGCTCCCCAGGGATGGTCAGTGTCGGCCCCCTGCCCAAGGCCGAACCCCCTGCCCTGTTCAGCAGAACTGCCCCCAAGGGCATGTTTGGGGCTCACCCTGGCCACTCCTATGGGGACCCTCCAGGGTCTTCACCTGCTCAGCTTTTCCAGGAGTCAGGGATGTTCTACCTGGCCCAGGAGCTGCCAGTGCCCAGCAGGGCCAGGGCACCACGGCTGCCAGAGCAAGGGGGCAACAGCCGGGCAGAGGACTTCTCAGAGGAGGAAGGACTCAAGGGTCGTGGGGAGAAGCCTCCTTCCCCAGCAGAGCAGCCAGGTAACAGAGTCCTCATTATCCACTTCCCACCTGTGGGGGCTGCTTTGGGGGGCTCCTTCCTGACTATCCATGCACTTGTTAACTTGTCCTTTAAGTCACTCATACATTTAACTAATGTCTATTGACAACCCGATCAAGGTCAGGCAATAGGTAGGCAGTGGGGATACAGTGGCGGGTGGAAGTGACATGACTCTTCTTCAGGTGGAGAGCCAAGATGTCCATGGTGGGCCTGAAGTTTGGTTTTGGCCCCAGGCAGGTCTTTCCCCCAAAGTGTGGACAAGGGCTGGAAGGAGAGGGGGGGCATCAGTGTCCTGGTGTTTGAGAAGAAGTTCTTAAATATGCTAGTCCCCTCCCACCCCCAACTCACCCATCTGTATCCCACAAGCTTATCTCGCCACCAGCTCTTAGCTCTGTGTCTGGCTCCCAGCAGGTGTGACTGTGCAGAGACTGGCGGCTGTGCTGGCGGGCTACGGGGTGGAGCTGCGTCAGCTGGCCCCTGAGCAGCTCTCTACCCTCCTGACCCTGCTGCAGCTTCTGCCCAAGGGTGCGGGGCGAAATCTTGGTGAGTGTCCAGGCAGAGAGACTAGCACCTACTAGCCCCATGGAAGCCTATTGCCCCCATGAGCTGCCTGGAGGAGAAGGGTCAGGGTCAGGGCCAGGGAAGGGAGTTCTTTTGAGACATGAGGTCACTGGCAAGCAAAGGGCAGGGAGCAAGTGGGTGCAATGATAAGCTGAGGAGTTAGACCAGGAAAGGATTGGAGGGTGGAAGTAATGGACAAAGAGGCCCACAGGGGGTGTGAGCAGGAATCAGGAAGCACTGAGAAGGGTGGGTGGATGACAATGAGGACCTAAAGAGGGGTGTGGCCAATGCGAAGGAGAAGCCAATCAAGTGTGGGTAGCGGGAGGCCTGAACAAACAGCTTCGAGAGGTGTGGCCAATGCCAGAGGGAAGAGGTAATAAAACAATGAATTATAAGACAGAAGCACAGTGGCATGAGGCCATGTTTAGGACGAGACCTCGTTTAGGACGAGGTCACTGACTGAGAGGAAAGAGACCACAGCAGATGTAACAGGCCCAGGGCCTCTGGTCCTTTCTCCGGCAGTGTTGTGTGGACTTTGGCCTTGGCCCTTTGCCCAGAGTCTTGTTTTTCCTGTCTCTGTAGGAGGGAATGTAAACGTTGGAGCTGACATCAAGAAAGTGAGTTCCCAGCACCTCCCTGACCCATAAGTGCCCCACGGCAGGCAGCAAACCCCCTTGCCGAAATCTAAACCTCAGGATCAGGACCCAGAATCTAAGCCCTCCAAACCCTTATTTTGGGGAAACCAAGGCCCACAGACTGCAAGTCATTGCCGAAGTCTCACCTCAAGTTGATGGCAGAACTCAGACTATAAATTGGAATTCTTGACTCACTGTTTTTTCCCAGTACAATCATTTGAGACCATGCTCTAAGGATCCCTCAGGGAAGAGGGGAGCTGTGAGCAGGCAGGCTCCTGATGCCCCTGGAACTTGGGGAGTTCCATGTTTCATGTGTTGGACATCTAAGATTTCGTGGCTAAACCAAAATCTAAAAACCATTGCCTGCCTATTCACCTTCTAACCATGCTCCAGAGATTCTCCCCACTCCAACCGCATCCTGTGGATTATCACTGATCATGTTTCATTCATTCATTCATTCGTTCATTCATTCATCTACTGGGCTCACTTTCCTGGGTGCCTTCTCTGTACCCAACCCTGCACTGGGCCCTGGGGATAGAAAGAGAAGCAAGTCCTAAGCTCCACTGTAGGGAACTCAGGGTCCAGGATGTGGACCCTCCTCCCCCGCCCCAGCCCCTCCACTGTCCAGAGACCATATCGCTATCCTCTCCTCAAAACAGACAATGGAGGAGCAGATGCAGGGTGGAGACACAGCAGAGCCTCCACCCCCTACACCCTCCCTGCCTGGATACCCGACTGCCGGCCCCACCTCCAATAAAGCCCAGCAAGTGCTGAGCTTTGGAACCCCTGAGCCCCCCAAAGCTGCCGGCCCCCCTACCACGCCTGTCCTGATAGAGAAGAAAAGTCCACTGGGCCAGAGCCAGCCCACAGCAGCGGGGCAGCCTTCGGCTCAGCCATCAGCAGAGGAGTATGGCTACATTGTCACTGACCAGAAGTAAGGACTCCAGCCTGGGGAAGCCTTCCAGTCCCCTAGGGGTTGGGCTGGCCTGCCTGGCAGGAAGCAGAGAGTAGAAATCCAGCTGTGAAATAGACAGAGGGATGGGCTGCTCTGCACCCCTGGAGGTGGCCTGTTTCAAGAAAGTGGCCAAGAGGATCCCCATCTTCCTTCCTCTGCCTGCTGCCTACCTCCAGGCCCCTGAGTCTGGCTGCAGGAGTGAAGCTGCTGGAGATCCTGGCGGAGCATGTGCACATGTCCTCGGGCAGCTTTATCAACATCAGGTGGGGCTGCTGTCTGGCTGGGGAGGCAGAGATCTAGAAGGCGGCTTGAGTGGGGGGAGGGTGGCTGGAGGGGCTCAGGGAAAAGGGGAAGATAAGCTCTGGGTCAGAGATGCTCCCAGCTGCATTAAAGGTACAGCCACAACGAGCCCTGCTGCTGGCACCATCCAGTGTCTCCCTTGTAGGGCATCTCTGATCAGCTCCAGCCCCACCCTCTAATGTGGAGAGGGTCAAAGCTGGCCACTGTTTCAGAGCCTGGGGTCTAGGGTTGGTGAGGGAGTAACATGGCTCCTATTTGGCAGTGTGGTGGGACCAGCCCTCACCTTCCGCATACGGCACAACGAACAGAACCTGTCTTTGGCTGATGTGACCCAGCAAGCTGGTAAATACTGCCTAGCCCCAGCTCCAGCCCTAGCAGGATACACCCACGCCCATGGCTGATGCTCCCCTTGAAATAGTCTAAAAGCCTGCATGGGCCCTGCCTGCCACCTGGCATAGCATGACATGGGGTGGGGACCACATGAGGCTGGAGAGAGCCTGACCTGTGTCCTCCCCGCTGCAGGGCTGGTGAAGTCTGAACTGGAAGCACAGACAGGGCTGCAGATCTTGCAGACAGGCGTGGGACAGGTATGAGCTACCTGGAGAATCCGTCAAAGCCCCAGAGGGCTGACATCGCCCACAAGAGACCAAGGCAAACTTGACAGGAGAACCAGATCTGAAACCTATGCCTGGCTGGCCCACCTGCTTCTCTAAAGCAGCCCTCCCCTATGGCGTTTTCTTTCTGGCCAGCAGATGGCCCCAGTGGCTCTTCTATAGGAAGGTGGCTTGCTTGGCAAGAACTAGCTGAGATGCCCATAGCTTTCCAAGCCATCTCCCATCTCTAAATTCCAAGGGACGGCCTTACACAGGACACTGAACTCAAAATATGTTTCTATTCTGCACCAACGCTGATGCCTCACATTGTATTATTTGAGTCCTTGGGTTCTCTCTCTACTTCTCTACATCCATTTTTAAATGCAAATACTCCTGGTGGGGGTCATCCACTAAGTCTCAGGGAGTGCAGTTTGGCTGAGTTGGTCTGATGGGGATTGAAAAGGAGTTTTCTTGGGTCCATCTGAACCCTTCTCCCAGTACCAGCATGCTCCTGCTCTCCCAGCTTTGCCCCAGGAGGTACCGTAGCAGGGAGCAGAAGCAGCTCCCAAATCTCTCCCACCACTGCCCCCTCTTGATTCTAGCTTTGTTCCCACAGAGGGAGGAGGCAGCTGCCGTCCTTCCCAGACCAGCCCGCAGCACCTCTCCCATGCGCTCAGTGCTGCTTACTCTGGTGGCCCTGGTGGGTGTGGCTGGCCTGCTGGTGGCTCTGGCAGTGGCTCTGTGTATGCGGCAGCATGCACGGCAGAGGGACAAGGAGCGCCTGGCAGCCCTGGGACCCGAGGGGGCCCATGGCGACACTACATTTGAGTACCAGGTGTGCAGCCCCAGAAGCTTGCTGAGGAGAGGGAATGGGAGGGGCTTGGGGGTCTGGATCTCACATGGGGTTAGAGTGGGGAGTTGGATGGAGAGCGAGCACCCATCTCTTGGAATGTTTTTTTTGGGTTGCCCCAGTAGGGTTGTTGCGGGGGGTGTTTTGAATATTGGGAGCAGATGGTTCCTAGGTTCTTCCAGTGTTACGATTCTGGTGTTCTGAGATTCAGCTCTGTAATATCTGAGGTTGTCATAGGCACCACCCAAGCAGAACAGCCCCCCAAAAGGATGAGGGCAGAAGATCCTACCCTAGAGGAGATGGGTGTTATTCAGATCTATTAAGGAAGAGCCTAGGGACCCAAGATTGAACCCAGGACCCTGTTGCAAAGGCTTCAGGGGACCCTTGGGCCCCACCTGATCCTTTCTTTGCAGGACCTGTGCCGCCAGCACATGGCCACAAAGTCCCTGTTCAGCCGGGCAGAGGGTCCGCCAGAGCCTTCTCGAGTGAGCAGCGTGTCCTCCCAGTTTAGCGACGCAGCCCAGGCCAGCCCCAGCTCCCACAGCAGCACACCGTCCTGGTGCGAGGAGCCTGCCCAGGCCAACATGGACATCTCCACGGGACACATGATTCTGGTCAGGACAAGGCCTGGGCCCAGAGTGCATGAGGGGACAGGATGTAGGGGAGGCAGGGCTGGTGGGGTAGGCCAGAGCCAGTCTGTTGTGTCCCTGCAGGCATACATGGAGGACCACCTGCGGAACCGGGACCGCTTGGCTAAGGAGTGGCAGGCCCTGTGTGCCTACCAGGCAGAGCCCAACACCTGTGCCACTGCTCAGGGGGAGGGCAACATCAAAAAGAACCGCCACCCCGACTTCCTGCCCTGTGAGTGAGTCCTGCTTGCCGATCTGGCCCAGCTGCTCTCTGCTGGGAGCTCTGGGGAGCTTGGGGGAAGGGGCTGGGCTCCTGGCTCAGGCTGAGTGGCAGAGGTGCCAGGACCCCAATGACTGGAGGGGCACCTGGGGGTGGGATGTGGGCTTTGTGCAGATGACCACGCTCGCATCAAGCTGAAGGTGGAGAGCAGCCCTTCTCGGAGTGATTACATCAATGCCAGCCCCATTGTGAGTGGCCCTGGTTCCTGCCCCCATCTCTGCCCCATTTTCATCTTCCTTTTATAAACTCCATTCCCATATAATCACCACCTCCCCCTGTGGGAGGCTGTGGATGGGGCCTAATGCCCTAGCATGGAAATGGAGGGTTCTCAGGCTCCCTCAGACCTTGGCCCACTCACTTTGACCAAGCCTTTCCATGGCATCATTTCTCATTCTGGCTCATGATGTATCTTTCCTGCCCCCAGATTGAGCACGACCCTAGGATGCCAGCGTACATAGCCACACAGGGCCCGCTGTCCCATACCATCGCGGACTTCTGGCAGGTGGGCTCTTGGAGGGAGGGCTTCTCCAGGGACCGGGGGCCCTGGGCCAGCCAGGTCCCAGGGAGGTTAGAATGGAGCTTACCTGAGTCTCTGTCCCTAGATGGTATGGGAAAGTGGCTGCACCGTCATTGTCATGCTGACCCCGCTGGTGGAGGATGGTGTCAAGCAATGTGATCGCTACTGGCCAGATGAGGGCTCCTCCCTCTACCACATATATGAGGTCAGCAGGACCCCACGGCTAGGGGAAAATGAGAGTAGGGAAAGCAGATGGTAAACCTTCATACATGTATGAATATATATACTCGTATATATACCAGGGATTCCAAAAAATGTATACACATGACTTGTATTCATCTTTTATAATTGGTATATATTGAGTATTACAATTTTAATACCGGTTTTTTCCTTGCTTAAAATGTATATACATTTGTTTGGCACCGTGTGTGTGTGGTGTGTGTGTGTGTGTGTGTGTGTG